TGAGCGCCTAAAATTTATTGCATTTTATTTTTGTCGGAAATGCAGTAAAAAGTTGGCAAAAATGCATTTAATTGTTATTTCAGCAATGAATGGGCGGCACGAAAAAGAGCAAAAAAAAAGCAAAGAAAATGAAAAAAAAAAAATTTGAAATTAATGAAAAAGTACAAAACGAAAAACGAGTGCTTACAGGAAATTTAATGAATAAAGGAAAGTAAATATCGCATTAGAAGCATTTAGTGCGAAAAAGTGCAGTAGAAATAATAAAAAAAAAATAACACAGAGAACAATATTAAATAGAAAAATAATAATCACAGCAAGCGCTGCGAAGTAGAAGTCAAGGAATGGATTTTAGAGCAAACGTTGATATAAAGCCATAAATGCATGAAATTGCATTTGCATTTATAAATAAAAAACAAATAGTACGAAAAGTAAAACTTTTGAATTGCAGCAACCGCTTATGAAATGAGTTTTTGTAGTGGCCAACTGGAACTTTTTTATGTAAAGTTACGAAAATTTGCAAAGATGAGAGAATAATTTTGGAAAATACTGCCCGGCTGTGAAAGTAATTTCAGTGGAGAAGAGAAGTCGGTTTTGGACCTAAACATTGCAATTTTTATTTGAAAGGCCTTCTTACTTACGTACCTACCTACTTACCCAACTGAATCGGCGGCATGAATGAAAAACTCTCATATCTACATACCTATGTTTACTTTTGCGAGCGCAAGACATCAATGAAAGCGAATTTCACTGTGCACTCTTTACGCTACTTCGCATTTTCCCTTTTTTGTTGCACAGAAAGTCAGTAAGCAAATAAAAGTAATACTTCCCATGTTGAAGCGCAGCTTAGCTCAGCACAGGCGCTCATTACTATTCTTAAAGCGTCAACAGCACAGAAAATGCCGAGATGGCATGGCCTGAGAAAGAAGGCGCAGGAAAGGAGGCCCACACAAAAAGCCTCAATGCAGCTGAGTGATGGCAGCTACTGAAAATGCAACTGCAGCATAGCTGCACAGCAAGCCCACAGCATTTTTTGCAAAAAAAAACCAAAAAAAAAAGAATTATGGCGCTGCTATTGAAATTATTATGGCTGGGGCTTTGTTGGCGTTGATCCTTTTGTTTGCCCGCTTCGGCGAGCTGCTGAAAGAGACGCAGGCAGCCCGTACAGATGCAGGTTGCACACACATCCTGTCCCATACGCTTTGCTCTCCACAGCTAAAGGTACGCCAGCTCTTCTTCTTTTTTCGTACAAACTTTTATTACTTTATGGCGTTATTCTTCGTATTTTTTCGTCTTTTAATATTTATTTTTTTTTTTAATTTTATTACCGCCATTATGCGCGTGATTATCCAGCAAATCAATGTGCTGCCGCAGCAGAAGCATTGGCGCAACCGGGTAGCTAGCATACATATTTCTTCTTTATCGACTTTTACTGTGCCGGCTACCGATTGCCAGTTTTACCGCTTGTGGCAGCCATCATATTTCAGTCAGGCTGAACTGCTGCTGACCTTTGCGTCCCTTTCAGAAACATTGGTTGGCAGCTACGCTTCAGTTGACAATTGCCACCATGTTTGCTGCGTCATTTTCTTCGCACGCGTGTTTGTGTGTTTGCCAGCGCTTACCTCGGCCTGCAGTTGTTTTTGTGTGTGTGTGTGTTTTTTTTTTGTCCTAATCATTGTCAGTCTTCCTTTGTTCGCTTTGTGCTGCTTCTTGGTGCTACTTTTCCTATTTGCCTTTCTTCAAATGTCTCCGCCTCAAGCCAATGTGTCGCCGCTGTTCACTGCGGTAGGTCATCAACCAAATGAGGAACAACGATGACAACAACATACATATAGTATACACTAACAGCAACAACAACCACAGTATGCATATATCATATGCACAGCACAAAGCGAAATGTGTTACAATTGTTATGGCGCAGCAAAGTCATCATCAGCGCTTTGAATTGTCCAACTTGCCACATAGGGACTGCCAACGAGCTGTGCTAGTGGGCTGTGTTGTTGTGGAAATCGTTTACTACTCGTAGTTTTTCCCATTTTTTATTGCTACACTCCATGTTTGAATGGTTCTTGTTGTTCTTTTAGGTTCTCACTCCGGCATATTTCATTGCATTCGGTTTGAACTATTTGTAAATGAGATTTACTGCATACTCGTTACATGCTGTGCGTATATATCCCCATGGGCACTTCCTACCTTTCGCCACTGCATAGCAAATTTTGCGTTTCTGCCCATTTATAACTCCCTGTGGGTATGTGTGAGTTTGCAATTGTATGCGTGCAATTATTTATAAGCATGTCTGTTCGCTTTTTGTATTATTATTTTATTATAATTTTTTTGTTTTGTTACTCACTCAAACTTCTCTCAAAATGCGCGCAGATGTGCGGCCAGTTGCCGGGAGCTTCGTGAATACGTGCATGTGTATGTATGTAAGTTTTAGCGCTGGGAATCATCTGAGGTAATTGAATTTATGCAAATTTCACTGCTACACACAAAAGGTGAAATTGGAATTGGATGGTAGGTATATATGCCAGCAAAGCATGGAAGATGCGCCTGCCACTTCATTGAGCAAGGTAATCAATGATGCGACCGGATGTTGCACGCATGCGTGTGTGTGTGTGTGTATGTGTGCGCGCATAGCCTGAAGGTGCTCAGAAGCTACTTTAGCATGAAAATTTCAGTGGCACAAATGTGCTTGGAATTTAGTAGTGGATGTGTATAGGAGCATATTCCCGCGTGTATTGACATTTGTTGTAATGAAAATATTTGATGCAAATTTGAGCTGGCAGCTGTGTTGCAAAGAAAGAAGAAAGAAAAATTTTATTCGAAAAATTTTAAATCGGAACGGGTTTATACATAATTTCCTTTGACATTTCGATAAGAAAGTATGTATGTATGATTAATGAGTGTGGCATGAATTTTCTTTTATTGTTTATTCTTATGCAAATGCAGTTAGGAAATGGATTTTCCTTCCACTACTTTCAATACATTTAAAATTAGTAAATCATCCGCTGGAAACTGCTTCTTCAAAAAAATTTAAATCTTGTCAGGAGCTCTAAAAGCAATAGCCACAATCTCGTTTTTGTTTAGCAGCTCAATTAGAAAATATTGCGCCTGGGAGTATGCAACAGTGTCTTTACGGCTGAGTAATTGAAAGCATTTTATATGATATTTGTTGTGTTTGTTCTGACTTCGCCTTTAGGTTAGGTTAGATTCTAGCACAGCGCGGAGCACTCACTCAACCATTTCTTATATTGTCCATTATGTTACCACTAAAGAAGTTTCTACGACCACCAACCAGATGGAATTTGCAATTCTGCATGTCAGGGCTTTTGCGCAGCATTCGTAGAGCCGATTAAAGGTCCTTCTTTGCAGGAAAAGCCCGCAAGTGTATCAGTAAATCTTATATTTTATCTGTTGGAAGAACTAGTATCAAAGGTACCCTACCTAGCCGTTTCAGATCTTTCAGGGTTCTATAATGTTTCTTGGAACCCATATCAACGTGATTTGAAATTAATTCATGGCAACCCCGACAGAAGTCAGTCCTTTCCCGCCCTGGTTCGATCGCACCACAGGCGTTTATTTTTTCCCTCTTAGTCGGTATCACACTGATACGTATCCAGTTAATAACCTCCTACACACATAGCCACATCCTCCAACTCTAACGTCTAACTTTAACCCATCCATGATTATTTTTACTGGATCCCTGCTCCAAAGGCTATCCCATTCACCCCTTAAAGGAATGTATGTAAAGAAGGATTCAACTGGAGCTAGCCTCGGTAGACACCAATCGGTTTTATCAGATGACGTTTCAAAAGTTCGGAAAAGCCCATGCGTCGCGACGTCTTGTGATGGTCGAGCGGAGTAGGATGCTCGTATCCCAAATATTTGCTATTACTACGCTAAGCATAACTTTGAATGCTAAAGATGGGAGTGATCAGAAGTGCCCCGCTGATTCCAGCAAAGGACGCCATTATTATTTATCGTGGATTTTACTAATAAATTCCACCATATAATTAACTCAATACAACAAAATATTGCTATATCCATAAATACTTTACTTTCCTCCTCACATTGGCTCTGTGTTATATCTCACCATATTCCATGCAATCATTCCTAGTAAAAATTACTGAATACCACTAGTTATATATCTAAGCGAATATTTTGAACTTATTCTCTTTCTTGATGATATTTTTTGGTATTTCGTATTTTTCTGCTGTTGATACCGGGAATTCGCAAGTTATATTTTTCTTCATAACTTTTATTTTTCTTCATAAACGTACGTACTTCTCAGTTCTTTTTGGGTACATATTTTTTCAAAGGCAAGCATTAACTAAGGCCTTCTATAGTTAATTGATTCTTATCAGGCGGCCGCAATCGCGCTAATAAAACCCTGAGCAACAGAACAAATACTTATACTATTATAATTCTAATTTAAATCAAATTTTACTTCGCAAAACAGCGAAAAAATATGCTTATAGCTTCCTGTGCCGCGCCGGTTATTTTATGAGATCGCTTACTTAATTAGAATATCAGCGCGTATCTTTTATACATATTAGTGGAGTATACTTATTTTTCATTATCGCCTCTCTACTAGAACTTAAATTCGCTTACTACTAAACTAAAGCATTAAACTAAGTAAAGCATATAATAAACGGCTTGGCATAAATCAATTTGATAGTTTTTTAAGCGCATTGACTTTGCTACTACGTTGTGGGACCACAATAAATCAAAGCGAACGGAGGAAAGACGGAAGAAAGATAAAAAAGGCAAAAGCAGCAAAAATAAAAAGTATTTAAAAGCGGCTGCCGACTTGAGCTTTAACAACAATACAAGCAAAACACAAATGACGAGCGAAAAAAAATAAAGAAAGAAAGAAGCAAATTTGTGAAGAAGGCTTACTTACATACATACGTCTTACTGAAGAGAATGCGCATGCGTAAGGGGGCGGTGCTCAGGCGAAACATAGAGTTGTAAATATGGCTACAATAGGCTGCTGTAAAGTTGCTTTGTATTCCCCCGTTTGGTCGTCGATCAAAGCGTTGTTGAGGCTGAACGGTTGCTCTAAGCATTCACCCAGTGATCCCATAGCAAATTAAGTTGTTGAGCAAAATGACGTGTGGCCGCACCTACCAATCGTACATACATACATACATAGATGGCGGGCGATAGGCAACAAATAACAACAGAAACAATAACAACAAAGCGCAACAAATTAAAAGTAGTAAAACCATAAAATGCAAGTTAGGGGAATAAAATGAAAACCGAAACTACATACAAAATAAATTTTTACGGTAGCTGCAACGCACTTCTTACGCCTTTGGCCTCTTTTGGTTGGTGCTGACAGTTGCAGTGTTTCGCTGTAAATCATAGTAAAATAACCAAAGAAAAAAACTGGGCTATACAATTTTAAAAATAAAAAACGACACTCAACAAACATTTTTATGGCCGAACATGAAAAAAATATTAAAATTGCTCAAAATATTTGTTTTAACTCTTCCGCTCTGTCTGTAATTATTTAAGCAAAATTTTATTCTACATGCCTCGATTTGTACGCCAGCTCTCCGTAATCTGGATTCCATAGAGTAGTCTAATTACTGAGACAGAAGAGCAAGTTAAGCTGACGCTTGCAATTTGTTGCTTAAAAAAATCGCAGGCTATTTGAGAATTGCCCAAATGTATGAAGGAACAAATGAATGAATTTGGTAAAGCAAACAATGTTGCATACTTCTGGGCACGCCATTTGCCAATTTAATAAACAGGAGAAAGCACTGTTGATCAAAATATCAATTGATATAAGCTATATAAAGATCGCCTAGATTGTATAAAATTCACTTTCCGTTTATTATTCCAGCTGTTAATCAATTTTTATTTTGTATTTTCTTTCATTACAGTTCGTTCAAGATTGGCATCACTGCATGGATTTTGAGGATTGCAAAAATGTAAGTTTTAAAGCTTAATAAATAATTAGTTTCAAGGTTTAAATAGTTAAGTTGAAAGCCAAAAAATGTATGACTAAAAAATTTACCCAATAATTAAAAAAAATGTATTACATAAACTTTATTGAAAAAAATTTGGCACTAATAAAATTAAAAAAGTTATTCAAAATATTTTGTTAGGTCAAAATTTTGTAATGGTTAATTTTTTTTTATATAAAATAAAAAAAACCGAATCAGCTTAACTATCTTATCCTTTGGACTTAGAAATTTTGAACTGCGCTCATTGAAAATAACTAAGAACATAGTCTAATGTTAAAGGCAAACTTAAAAAAAATGTGTTCAAAAACCTCTGCAAAAATTTTAATTTTCACTGAGCGTAGTTCCTCACGAGCCAGAAATGGTACTCTTTTGTAAGCATACTCGTATTTATGTGTCATTGTAAATAAATATATGTAATATATGTTACCTGTATTAGCTTTATTATGAATATAACCGTCATAAATCTCATCGCATTATCCATTTACTCTGCAACTCCAACATTCCTCTATGTATGAAAATGTACTTATTTTTTGTTTGTACAAATTACTCATATGCAACCCCTAAACACTATATACTACAATACACTCAAGGATGTTATTTTTACCACTCCTTTGCTCCTCATGGTCCACGCATTCAAATAAAAGTATGTACCTTTTTTAATTATTACCAATACCTACTCCCTTTTTCTTAGTTATGTAAGTACTTTTTCCTGCATAACGGAGATACTCCGAAACAAATTAGCGCCCGTTAAGTGTTGATGTCCTTTTAATTTAAGCGCCTTTTGACAGCCAAACCCACCAACATATTTGTGTATGTAAGTAGTAACACACACGCTGCACCTATCCCAGTTCGATTGGCTCGAATACATTCCGTTCTATGCAACACTGTCATATCACTTCCTTCAGACGTCGACGTTTTCAGCGCAGCTGGCTGGCTCACCACGCGAAATCTGAAGCGCCGGTTGGCCTGCATTTAATTAAGTATTTAAAATTTAACTACCTTTTTATACCAGGAAGGATTGCTGTGCCGCCTTGCATGCCATTTGCACTCACTCTTCCCCCCACTCGCTAACTATGTACACAAATACAAACGTAGAATTTTGCACAAACTCACAGATTGAATGTAAGTACATATCTACATACATTGTTGCTGTAAGCCATCGCAAGTTTATTCCTCTGTATTTGTAGTTTATACAAGGTTGCTCTATTTAATTAGCAAGGAAGTAGTTTCGAGCCAGTACCATTTCCCGCCCATAAGCTTTTACTTCCGCCATGCGCTGCTCTGCGCTTTGTTTAACTTTTTAAAGTTTTTATTATAAAATCGTTTTTTTTTTTTTGGTTTTGCTCGATATCATATGGCAGTGATTGTTGCAAGCCTACCTACTACTATCTATGTTCCATACCCCCTACGCCAGCGTACGGGTCCTAACTACTCTTTTCACTGGCTCTGCGCGCCAACGGTGCCGCAACATTTTATGACTTTCGTCAGTCGCGACTGCATTTAAGTACATACCCTAGTGGGGAAGTGGCAGGGGTAGTTGCAAATAATATGCTGTAATTGTAAAATGTATAGTTTGTATGCTGCAGCGTTGTAGAGAAAAGTAGTATTAATGCATTTGAGAGCCTCAAATATTTAAACTTGGTCGCTTTTTGTGTTTTTTTTTTTTGTTTTTTGAAAAGTCTGTAAAAAGTAAATGTGTAAAATGGCATAAAAGTTTGGCACAAAAAAAGGAGTAGATAATAAAAACATAGACCAACTCAACTGCCGCCGCTTTAATTTTTCTCTTCCCTTTAGGACTTTTAATTAAACTAATTAAAACGTTGTTATGAAGCAGCGAATGGGACTGGGGGTTGTGCAAAGTAATCATTTCAGTCCGCACGCCCATAAATCAGGCAAACAGAGTTGCATTCAAGTCAGACCGCGCTGCATGTACAATTGTATGTATGTATGTATGTATTTTACGATTGTGAGCTATCCATTTTTCTTTGTGCATTTCGTTCAACCATTTCTTGCGCTCTGTTGCTGGGTATCAATTTCATTGCCCCCAAGTTTTTATTTTATTTTTAATTTTTTTTTAATTTTTTGTTTTCCTTTATAAAGCTAATAAACCTTAAGTACGAACGTAGTGCCGTAGAAAAGGTAGTAAGAGCGGTAGTTAGTACTGTGTTAATGTTGCTCATATGAATACTCAAGTGCACTTGCTGTGCCTCGCAAGCGTCATGCTAAGCTAATCAAGCGACGGCAATGGCCAACCAAAAGTCGGCGCTCCGTTTTTGCTTTTAGCGCTGCTCCCTTTCTTCTTTAGTGTTGTTTTTTTTTGTACTTTTTTGCGCAGTTTTTGTTTGCAAAAGGCAATTGACACTTGTGCTGCAGGCACAATTGCAACATAAGTGGCGAATGACGACGTTGCACTGTTAGCGTCACACATATGTGGACAACCATTTGCACGGCTGTTGCAGCTAAGGGATAGAGCACCAGCGGCTGATGCCTGCGAGAGTGTGTGGGTGAAAGCAGAGAAAACGAATGGCGCATTTTTTATAGAAACAGAAATGATTAACTTGAGCGAAGGTTTTTGTTTTCAATTATTTTTTGAAAAAAAAACCCTGAGCCACAACAAAGAAAAGAGAGCACGCAACTTCAAAGGCAATGTTGCCGCCCAAGCCAACTTTAACGGCTAAGCGTTGCCACTGAAGTTGAGGTATGAAATAAAATAAATAGTCAACTTAGGCGACAATGCGCACAGAAGTAAGCAACATTCAGTGCTTAAAAGCAAGCAGATTTCCAAAGTACTCAGGTGTGTTCGTCTCGTCCTTGCAAAGACGTGGCGGTCAACCCTTTTCAAGGCAGGGTGGTCGAGTCATCAACCCCAAAAAGTTGTCTGCAGTGCCATCTATTTTGTGAGATTGAGTGCAACATGAGGTTTGCATATCGGCAGCCGCTTCGAAGTCTGCCACCCAGGGCAGAGCCGTCTTCGATTCGTCACTTTTCTGCGGGCTATGACTTCCGCTCGCTTACCGAAACATGTTTGCATGTGAAAGCAACAACAAAGTTAGCTAGCACGGATAGACGATAGCGAGTTTGGTTGTACCTCATTGAGTTCGTTCGTTTCGCCACTCGCTAACTGTTGGCGAATCGATGACCGCTATTGAGTTCGTTCGTTTGTTTCGCCACTCGCCAGCTGTTGGAGAATTGATAGTTGGGACTTGCATTGGCCAACTAGTTCTGAAATAAATAGACTAAAGCTTCGCGATCCCTCAACAACTAGACTACAGACTTCGATATATCTGGACTCCTGATCCTAACCATCTGTCAGTTTTAGAGGCATCAATAAGAATCCTACAATATGTAAGCTCGGGCTCAGCATTGGAGTTAAGCAAGCGCTCCGATTCAGATCTATCAATTTACGTCTAACTCCACACTGCATCACACCGATAACCACAATTGAAATTGAAATTGAAATTGAATATCTTTTAAGCCTACAAATGTCTTTAACGACCTCGTCGTGCATATGTAGAAACATTAAGTTCCGATAGGCTTAGCTTAGTGTACCGATGGTTCTTTGAAGTCCTGTGACCAGATTTCCCACGTTTTTGTTTAAGAGTTCATTCTACCACACACTAAATGCAAAGTTGATGATGGTGTAACTCCATGGGTCCCCTCTTCTTAGGAGCATCGCTATTGGTTTAAAAGTTTCCTCGAGTCACTCCTGAACTTCTGAAGCTCCAAACTTTACCAGAGAAAAGGTCTGTGGCCAAGGCAAGAGCAATACGGACAAGCCTTATTCAAAATGAAACGAAGGGCACCAATGCCATGCGTGCATCGAATTCGGATTAGGCGGCGCAACAATCCATAGAAACAATACACTTTGCTTTTGCTGATTTCTCAAGAAAATTTTCAAGTCAAACGAATTTAACGACAAAGTTCTCAGCACAGGTCTTTCTGTAGCTTTATTCAATACTTAAATGGCAAAAATGCCGACTCAAAAAACAAAATTACTTTCGAAAACTTTTTTGGCCATCAAGTGCGATTATAGAAATTTGCACCTTATGGAAATAATACAAAAGATAACCAACATCTTTACTCAGTATAAATAGTAAATGTAAGAATAGCTAGCTTCTAATATTTTTGCTCCGTTAACATTACCCCAAAAACCAATTCACCACTGCCACTAGCAATTTTAAATTGAATATATCAAATGTGGCACGTATGCCAATTTCTCATGTGCCGCGCGGCTGTCATAAGTTGCCATAACCCCAAAGTACAAGCTGATTCATTGCTTCGGCCCTTTAAATAAAGTCTGGCAATTTTATTGCCTATATAAAATGAATTTTTTGGCAACATTTTACAAAATGTGCAGCTGTGTGTGTGTGTGTGTGTGCTTGCCGCCCATTTTTCATAGCTGTTGGAGCTGTAGACGCCAGAGTATTTATGCCTAAGTGGCATATATTTCAAGTCAACGACATACATACATACTTCCATATATGTATGCACAAACGCCACATGTATTTGGACTTATCGCAGCACAAAAATACCGCCAGCCGACAAACGTACCCACACACACACACACACACACACACACACACACACGCTTTTTCTTCAACAATACAAAACAATTCAATTTTCAGTCGTATCTGTGTGTATGAAAAAGTTGAAATAAAGAAATAAAGGAGAAAAAGCGGAAAATTGGTGAATCGACCGACTCTCGATGCAACTTGGACGAAAGAAAAGCCAACTCGTAAATGCAATTTATTTATTATTGTGGCATACTCGCAGTCAAAGGCCAAAGAGCAAAACCGCACAGTGCAGCGCTGGAAGGAGGTGTAGCGGCGGAAAGGGCAGATGGCGCAATGTAAAGATAAATACTTTCGGCGAGGAGCTGTCAAAATTATTCCGTTTGGCACAGTTGCAGCTGATTGCGGTGCAAGCCAGCGAACTTGCAACAGAACAATGTGTGTAGGCCCAGC